ACTTTACAACGTGCTTGATATCTACAGTATTAAGTTTCTTACGGGCTTTTAGAGATTTGGTAAGATTAGAAGGATATGTTTAAAGATACCTAACTAACTATACAATATACTAACTCTTCCCGACTATTATGACTTGGATGACGAGAGTAAATAGGCTTTTACTGATTATGTGTACCCTATCTGAGTCGGACACGAACGCGTAAACAGTAACCATTAAAAACGGCTTATGAGTACCTACCTTAAAGGGACGGTCAAAATTTATAAGGAAATATATGGTGACCCATTCAATGACCAGGCATTATAGAGGTTTGCTCACTTTGCATCAAACCGATTACGCTAAATAGTGCCCCATAGAACTGTTCATCAAATGCAACCACTAAATATTTAGGTAATATTTTACTACAACAATTGCAATATCCCTTATTTTATAACCGACATAAACACTTCACTACCGGCTGTATACAACTTTGTCTCAGTTGGGTTAATATCAGTCAACCTTAAAACTACCAACTTTGTACCATACTTCGAGCGTAAAGTACAGATGCATTCACAACATTACATTCCTCGAGAGAGTTTGTGCCTCGTCGCTTAACGTAGCTTAACTTTGTAAGTCAACAAGTGCTATGGAGAGACAATTATCTACTGGAATTGAATCAAAGACCCGCCTCGTGTAAGGGGTCTTTTATTTGCTTTTGTGTTAGCGATGAACCGATGATCTGGTTTCGTCTTTAGTGTCGCCGCACCAACCACAACCACAAAACCTCGCCACCGGCATATTTCTTGTAGTTTTCATAGATTTTATATGGACTCGCCACACACGGTACGCCGGTGGCCGCCACACGCTACAAATCGTCGTTGCTCGCTTCTTGTGGCTCGCATCGGCCACTTAATGCGCCGATACAAAACGCCGCCACACTTCACTCGCGCGATTTTTTACGCCTCTCTCCCTTACCTTAGTCGGCCGCTGTCGCGCGCTTCAGCCACTTTAGTAGCCGCTTCTAGCTTCTCGTGGCGGCGTTTGTGGCTGTGGCGTGTGGCCCGTGTGACTTACAAGCAACCTTTGTCTGTAACTCTTTTGGAAGTAAATGAGAAGTTTCTTTTTAATTTTGCCATCGGTAAGTATTTAATAACGGTTGGATTTCTAATACTGGATGGGATCGAAAGCATAATGTATATAGCTTTAAAAAAAAACACAATTTTTCTGTTAAAAGATTGGAGTAGACGATTTGGTTTATCAAAGTAGTTAAGACAGGAAGAGATCAAATCTTTAAAGGCTAAACCTTCATAAAATTAACTGTTAACATCCAGCCTGAAAAGGACAATTAGGTGATTACTCAATAGAATTTTATCCGTCTCCGTAGGGAACTGCATTGCCTTTTGGATTCGCGAGCACAGGGTTGGAGGGTTGAATTTCATTGAAATCCCCATAGTCCAATCAGTGTGGAACACCTTTTTTTTGTCTGGGAAATGCTTTACGCATCATTCAACCACCGGGGGAGCGAGAGGAAGGTATGTGGGACTCCTACCTGCTCATTTCAGCCAGCCCAGAGGTCGGGTGAAATGAGCAGGGCCCTACCTAACGCCCTGAACAGGGCCACTAAAAACTAGACAATACTCCTGCTGCACCGGTCACCCGGCGTACATTCTGAGGACCGCAGTCCCCCCAATGCACGCCGGGAGTGCGGGTGTGGTCGCGGCAACCGTTGCCGACTGTCCGCGCACCCGCAGTGTGGAACCCCTTTTTTTTTATACGCAGGCAAAAAATACTATTTACAGACGACGGCGCCTTTAAGAGGCATACCGCCGAACGGACCTCACGCCTGGCTCCCGCAAGCCTTACGAGCCCCAGCAGTGGCTGCCCACTGAGGACCCCGTAACCCTTACGGACGCTTTACGGCATAATATCCGCTAAAAAACCCTGCGAACACCCTCTAAGCTGCTTAGTGCGAAGCCGCGGGATCCCCGTTTAGGGATTCTTCCGCGTACCCGCAGTGTGGAACCCCTGGAATTTAAATTAGCAGCAGTCCAGTGATTGGAACCTCTGGGAAAAAATACTAGCAGACCCATCATGGGATTACTCTACTGGCACTACTGGGATAAGACGACCAATAATTCATTATCTCAAGCTCATCTGTACTTCTTAAGGTACATTAAACCGTTGATTCCGAATGCATCGGCAGTTTTTTGTTTAAAAAGAAACTAATATTATTTCGAAATACACTAAAACTAAACACTCATTTTGTTATTGGTACAATTTAAACACACAATACAAAAATTAAAACACGTCAAAGCGATTTTCTTTCAATTATTTATTCAACAGCATTGTTTGACCAGTGTTTTGAGTAAATTGGTATGAATATACATTTTATATGAAAGCACTTTACTAGATAAGTAGTTTAATGACATATCAGATCGTTTATCATTTTCTATAATTTGACCAAATTATCTATTTTATTTTATCAAAATAAATGTCGCTACTAATATGTTAGACTGGTTTCAGTATTTTTTCAGTATTCACGTTACGTTGATTAATATTTTTTGTATGAATAGTTAAAAACATAGTTTTAGCAAGTTTTCAGTAAGTCACACAACAAATCAAATTGTCCAGGTAGGTATAGACACAAAGATGAATTCTTGATTTAGTTATACTTAGTAAACATTTTGCATGGAAAAGTTAAATAATTTTATCACACAATTTGTTTTCTTTCATAAAATAAAAGCTTATCATTTGCCTTTACTATTATTCGTCACTACAATGGATGTACTTGGATATATTCGATGCGACGTTTTTATTTATTACAGTTTTAGACCTAATTATTTACAGAACGTTAAATATAACTTCAAAGATATTTCTCAAATATATACATTTTGATAATAAAAACTTAAAACTACTTGATATTTAAAATTTACAGTCAAAATAACCTTCACCTACTTAACTTCTTATATAATAAATAATTTACAAAAATATCAAATATTTGTAGTTTGGTGTAACTTTTCGGTGTTATTAAATGGCTGGTGTCATGTTGTCTGTTTCTTCCGAAATAATATATCCACTATGTTAAAAAGAGTATTAATGCGATGATTATACGAATCAAAATTAGATACAGTGTGTACACAAGAACGTGACCGAAATATTTTGAAAATTTGGTTGGCAGTTTAATAAAAGTATTCTGTGCGTTCAGTGAAAAGTGATCTAACTCGAAAATATAGATTTTTGGGAAATAGCATTTGAATGCAAAAGAAAATCTGCTACGTTGTTATTGGAGATAATACATGACCCGATGTTTTTTTTTTGGTGAAAGATAACGTTAATAATAATCAGGTAATGTACCAGTTTTGGAAATAAAGTATGTAGTTTCTTTTAAATTAAATAATTAACCCAGTTAAATGACAAAGCGCGGTCGTAACATTACTGTTTAGAAATAACGCGCAATAGACGAATTTTGCTACCGACATATCTTCATCGTGACAGTGACTACTTATTATCATACGTGTGTCAATATATGAAACAAGGTATGAAATATGTAATGCACGACCTAAATTCGGTCAAACGTGCTGATTAACATGCGACTCCATGTTTATCCTGCCTTCAAGATATTACGGGACTTTAATGTAGATATACAGAAATATTAACCAAAGGTAAATAATTAATTAAGGTTACATACACACTTTTTCTTAATTTCATTTACATTAACATATGAATTAAACTTTCATGAATATTCGATGTGACGTTTAATAAAATTAACTTTTAACTCTATTAGAAATATTATATTTAGAGTTAACCAAAACGATAGCTGGTTATAAAAATAATATATCTAAGTAAATAAATACTGAAACCAAGTAACATTTACAAAAATAAATTAAATTGAAAATGGCTACTCGGCTATAACTCATATAATTATCAACCAGCCAATGTACACTTAATTTGCAAAAAACCATTGACTATCGACAGTTATCTTTTTCGATCTGTCTGTGTTGCTTCATCATCATCAGCCTATTGATGTCCCCACTGTTGGGCACAGGTCTTTCCTATGGATGGAAAAGGGAGATTGGGCTATTACCCACCACGCGGGCCCAGTGCAGATTGGCGGGTGCTAATAACTTCAAATACAACAGAGACCAGACTCTTAACATACCTTCCAAAAGCACGGAGGAGCACGAGGTAGTAACTTTTAAGTTACCCATTCAATTACTACTTCTTCTTCTTCTTCCTCGTAACCTCATGACTGAGGGTCGCGACAGCATGAGGGCACCTGGTGTACCAGCTCCCTCCACGTATTGCGGTTTTCGGACAACCGGATAGATGTCTGAATGTCAGTTTGGCAGACTTCTTTGACCGCATCAGTCCATCGGGCGGGTGATCTTCCACGGCTCCTTTTTCCTTCCACATGACCTACGACGATGATCTTTTCAAGATTGTCTGGTTCTCGTTGGGCCACGTGTCCAAAGTACTGAAGAAGTCGCTGCATACATACAGTAGACAGGCGGGATGTTATTATATGTTATAGGGAATTACTACTAAAGTTGCCTAACTTCAACGATTGCAGCAGATGGTGCTAATCCCTTGCGCCATCGAGCTCTTCCGGCTATAACTACATGTTATATAGTTGTAAAAAATAAATAAAGAGAGTATGCACGGACAACCAGCAACAACAACATCTGAATTGAAACTTTTTGTCTTAAATAACCTAACATAAGGCGGTGCATAACGCATAGGGGAATGGAGAATCGTGTGACGCTCGTAGTGTTTTAGCCTTCGGCGAGTTCCCAAGCTTTCATGCTCGTCGGGAAGAGCTGCGCACGCATCCCACACACACTCATAGGTATATAAATATAGTCGTGTGACGGTCGTGACGCATTGCCGCATCGTTTCCATAGGGCTTTTCCATTTACACCCCGCCCGAAAAGAGGTTTCACTTCCAAAACATATCGCATTTCAACGTCACCTTACTTCGTGACCATTTACTACCTTATTTAATGTGAGAGACCTTTTGTTCCAGATGGTGAAACCAAAGTTGGAAAAAACGAAACATCGCAAACACGACGTGAGTCTGTCCTAATTAATTTGCTTGTTTACATTTAATTTGTTCTTTGCTCTTTATACTGTGAGCGGTAGGAAATCTTCTTTGAGCTGAATTATCAAGAGCAACACCAAGTATAGGGGAGAGTGGGGGAATTGCGGACGCGGGGTAAATACGGACTAGCAAGTATCTACTCATTCCCTCCACCCGCGGTAGCCCGGTGCTGTCGTCTGTTTCTTTCCGCTATTTTAGTGCCACGCAAAAACTTACGACAGCCGGCTGCGCACAGTTTGAAAGGTAGGTAAAATTTAAAAAAAAAGTGTATATTGATCTAATTTTTAGTGTTTTTTTATTCGAGGGACAGGTCTGTATACTAAGTGATGGTAAAAAGTGATATTTTCTATAGATAGCTTTGTCAATGGAGTTTGAATCGTCAATGTTTGTTTTTATGGAACGTTTTCATAACCCACAGATTTCTCTCTGATTTGGTTAATTGCGGACACTGCTTGCGGGGTAAATACGGACGTCCGAAAACCAAAGTACGACAAGTGAAACAAGTCAATCTTCATCAGTACCGCTTAGTGATTTAATAAAGGTCCCAACTCTACAAATTCATCGTAGCAAACGGTCAGTAAACAAAAAGCATTCCATCATTTTTACCAGCACACCGGAAAAAAAGAATCTAGAAGAAAAGGAACAAAAGAAATTACACAAGAAAAGAAAATCTCAAGAAAAAGAAAATAAACTACATCTAAAAAGCTAAAAAAGTCAAAATTTTGAAAATGAAGGAAATGTTGACTTTTGCATTTATTGTCAGGAAAAGTACAGTAATCCACCCACCGAAGACTGGATTATGTGTTTAAAGTGTAACAAGTGGGCTCATGAGAACTGCACTGCAGGAAGTTCTTCTAAAGGCTTTACTTGTGATTTTTGTCTATGATGTGGACCTAGTCCGTAAATATCCCATGCTGTCCGTAATTAACCCAGGGTCAGTCCGAATTTACCCCGAGCGCTACGGGTAATTACGGACAGACAATGTTTTGTTTTTGCTAAAAATATTCTATTTGTTGATTGATCTCGTTTAATAAGTATAATTGTTTTTGTAGATGTATAACTAAAGATTAATAATTAATAAAGACAGACTGATTATTACTAATAGTACGAATGTTGTGCGTTATTTCCCTTCAGCGTCCGCAATTCCCCCATCCTCCCCTATTGTTGACAAGAAACTCTTCGTACACCCGTACGCCGGTAACTGCTCGTAAGATTCGTGAGAGACTAGCTTCCGCCCGCGACTTCTTTGAGATTTTGACAAAAATTTAGTAAACCCCTAAACCTACACGTGGACCTAGGGTAGGTTTGCTAAAAAAATAATCTCAAGCAAATGTTGCCAAAGGATTTTTTGAATACTCTACGCGGAAGAAGTCATATCGTTAGTTTTTTTTGGTAATCCCTCAGGGTCCTAACATTTTTCCAGGACAAAAAGTATCTTATATGTGAATCCAGGTAATAAACTATATGTGTGCCAAATTTCACCCAAATTCATTTTATATTTATAATTTTACTAGGATTATTAGGATAAGAAGGATATAGGTTTTAGTAGTATGATAATAAATAATAATATGCTTTAATTTTGGTTTAACGTTTTTTTTGTAACACGCTGTGTAATGATCGCCTTTTTTTCTCTGAAAGAGTCATTGTATTCCTTCTATAACCTTATATAATAAGTGTAATGTTGATTTTATTAATTTAGTGTATTTCTTTTATTATATATAAACAATATTCTTCTGCTCTCCTTATCCATATAAAATTATGTGCTTAAACCCCTTTAAAGCTTAAAATCCTTTAGTTTATATATATATAAGTTTTATCTACGTCTGATCCTCTGACCACAGAAAGTGAGTACCTGAAACCTTATAAATAATGAAAATCAGAAACTGTAGTAAATTAGGTTATATTTGATTGTAATCTAATAATTATTTATCTGTCCGCCGAGTGTCGAAGCTGTGCCCACCACAGTGTTTTATTTGCGTATACATATCAGAAACTATGAAGGTACCAACAAACTTTATAATGAAACCGTAACAGTTAGAGTTGGGCTCTCACAAGTAGGGTTTCGTACAATTATGCAAGGTTAACCTTTTAAAACAGACCGATTGCTCAACCGAAAAAGTTAAATGTTAGCTGCAAACTAGGATATGGTCGGCCTATAAACGCTTGCGATAAAAAATATCCCTCGCGCTGCTGTTCATCCTCACGCAATCCCCTACCCCATGGAGCCCTGGAACCTTACAAACCGACAGAAACACACAGTTATTTTACTATAGTCTTCTGTATAAGGTGGAGGTTACTTCCCCAGACAGAGCGCTCCAATTCGAGCGGGAAATCCGCTATACCAAAGTACCACTCTTAGAATTTTTGTTAAAAAAGTTCGTTACAGCAGCAAGATGACGCGTGTGGTGTCTTGTGCTACGGTTTCTGATCATATTATTAAGAATGGATTAATTTTGCAAGCCTGTAACATGAAAAAATATAATATATGCTCTTCAAACCAAAGTTGTTGTTTTCATGCTGTATGTTGCTTTAAAATTACAGCCATTTCTACCAACTTTGACTAAAATCTTCACAATGGCTCAGTGGTTCGGTATACCGTCATATGGGAATAAGATATCTCATGTTTGGGCTGTTGTGGCACTCTTGATGCTGATAGCCATTGAAGGTACCGCGCTTTGGAAGCTCGCCAAGAATCTTAGTACAATGGATGCGGATGACGAGAGTAAGTGATTTTTATCATATTATAATCTTAACTGTGATAATAAGGTAGACAGGTCATTAGATTCAGATTTTTAAATTATTGTAAATAAAGTGTGAATTTGATTACGCTCGATGGTACAGGTGGTGATCGTTAGGATGGCAGGTTACTAGTTGTATTGAAAATAATGTCGAAATAACTTGAATTGGTGGCCAAGAAGGTGCTTCCCATTTGCTTCGTATCATGAAACTTTTGCTTTTTTAAACAATCTCAGAATAGCTGGTAATCTTAACCTCCGAACCCCGGGCGGGTTATGCGCAGGACATTAATTAGAAAAAAAATCTCATTGTATAAATAATCTTATCCATCATCAGCCATACAAATTAACATCCGAAGTCCGCCGCGGTTAGCGGCTCGTAGCGCATATGCAATCGTGAAAGATATTTAAATATGGCCGGTCGTTGGATGGGTGATCAAAAACTTATTATATCGAGCCCTTCCATGATTTGGAAGGCACGTTAAGCCGTTGGTCCAGATTGGATCTGTAGTCCTAGGCCCGCTTGGTGGGTTATATTATTATAAAATTTATAAAGAATCATATGTACTATTCTCATCTTATGATATACTCAAAAACATTTATTTTCCTGCAGGTATAACCGCTCGGGTGGCCGGGAGTATATTTTACGGCAACGGTCTTCTATCTCTAATCCTATCTTGGTTCTTCATATCCTCTTGGAAACGGATCTCTTTCTTTTGGTCCAAAGCAGAAGTCACTGACGGTGCTTATTTAAGTCAAGATAGAAGAATACATGGGAGAGTTGTTTTTATTACTTGGCTTGTTGCCTTAGTCGCATGCGGTAAGTGATTACGTAAGTTATACGTTTAATAAATACGTTCGTTCCCATTCACTGGTAGAGAATGCCATATTGACATTAAGTTCGTCATTTGCATGTAAGGCATTAAAGATTCAATAAAAAAAAATACACGTAGGATGATATGATAAATCGATTTTTTGCGAAAATCCTTGGAATTTTGCGAAAACACGGAGACAATGGCTTTACTCAATCTTACTAAAAAATATAGGATTTTTGCAAATATTCGAGTCGGCTCAGTAAGATTGCGAAAAGAATCGTTGACTTATTAATTATTATAAATATTTTTGGTTTTTTGTATTCTTGGGTTCACACATGCTTTGGAAGGCACGTTATGCCGTTGGTCCCTATTGGATCCGTAGTCCCATGTGGTGGGTCACATCTGTGCCCTAGCAGTGAGAACATTATAAATCTGATAATGATGACGGGCAATATAAATACTTGCGGTAATTTCGCTACGAGATATTACTTTAAATCGTTTGGTTGTGTTTAGTTTTTTTTTAATTACCTTTACAAATGTCAAAATTTCTATGAAATATAATGCTTCATACTTATTTCGTTTCTTACCCCTTGGTAACACTTAACAACACAACTTAGTTACCAGCAACATAAGGAAATAGTTCCTTAGTTTAAAAACACATCATAAGGTTACTTCATTAATGATATATATATTATTTTTAATTTTAGGGGAACACATACTCAGCATGATTTCAGCAACTGGTTTCGATATACCGCCTTTGAAATATTTCGAGAGATACATTCTAAGCTCACACGGATTTATTATAACGAACGGTAAAAAAAACACATTAGCTATATTCATGTATTATGCACATGTATGCATAATACATGAATATAGCTACAATTTACAACTTCAGCGTCAATATTTTAAAGTTAACTATTTATGCTATCACGAGTGCTTATTATCCTAAATATTAATATTATAAATGTGAAAGTTTGTGAGTTTGTATGTTTTTATTTCTTACTCAATCACGTAAAAACGGCTGAACGGGTTTGAACGAAATCTGGTAAAAACTGGATTAAACACATAGGATACTTTATCTCGAAAAATGTTAGGTTCCTGAAGGATTTCCAAGAAACTAAAGTTGACTCGGACGAAGTCGCAGGCGGTCGCTAGTAAATAATAATTTGATGCTTTTGAAATGAGATTCCTCAGTCTGACTCGATCATTTTTTTTTTCACAATAGTGAAATATTTTTTAATTTTAAAGCTTTTTAAATATTTTATTACGATGTATGGCTATAATAGGGTATTGGACAAGTGTTAGAAAATGGAGTCCATAAAAAGTAGATATTCATCACTGTTAGCGACGCGCTCAATTATGTTATATTTTTTATTTAAAATGTAGGGTAGTGCGATGTCACTGCCGATCCCGCGGATAACCGTTGTGAGCCATTGCACGGTCACCAATCAGTCTGCCGCGAACCGCTCTGGAAGTGACACCGTACTACTTTGCGATCCCTAAAAAACACGTGTTAGACTAAAATTGCTGTAAAAGTGTTTATTATACCTTTGTTTGCTGCATTTTGGCGTTTTACATCGATACTGAATCTCCCATCCCCCACAAAGTGGTCTTCAAAGCCGGATCATATCGATGTACCCGACGCCGCCGGTAAAAATGGTACTTACGCGCAGTGCAAGTAAAAATACAGTGCATGGGAAAATACAAGAATCTCACCCAAAAGGCAGCGTAAAATCTGAGCCTGTGAAGAACGGATAACCGCTCAATCCAACAACTTCTACAATGGGCGCACCGGCACTGAAGGTCATTGCTGCTGCTACACCAGCTGGACTGCAGCAACAACTCACGTACGACAATGGAGAAACCTTTCGGGATCCGAAGAGCTCGCAAATTTCAACGTCATCTTCCGCCAAGGCAAGACGCAAAAGGTTAGAACTGGAAGCAGCAGAGCAAAAGGCTAGGATACAAATGGAACTAATCGACAAAAAACTCCAAGCAGACCTAGCCGACTTAGAAGACGAATACAGTCCACAGCAACGTGAGCATACTCACTCCGAAGTTGAGAAGTGGTTGGAACAAAGCCAACACGAAATGGATACGGCCCAGCCAGCGCCCGCAAATGGCCCCCCTCCGGGTGCGCTGGACCCCTTGCATGGAACCGTCGAACTGTTGGCGACCGCACTGAAGCAAATCACCACTTCTGAAACTAATAATGGACACAACAACACTCAATTGTTAAGTAGAATGAGTGTACCAAAAGACTTACCTGAGTTTTATGGAGATCCGCTTGAATGGCTGCAATTCAAACAGGCATATAACGAGTCTACGAAAATATGTGGATTCAGCGATATCGAAAATATGTGGAGACTACGAAAATGCTTACGGGGAGCAGCAAAAGACTCCGTTTCGGCACTTCTCATTTCTTCCACTTCGCCCAATCAGCTGATGTCCACACTGGAACTAAGGTTTGGCAATCCGGATATAATTTTACACAAAATAACGCAAGAAATTAAAAGATTACAGCCGTTGCCGCCACATTACCTAAGTGAAATAGTTCCATTTTCTATCAAAATAGAGAATTATATAACAGCTGTTCGTGCAGTGGGGCGCGACGAGTGTCTTCGTGGAGTTCATATAACAAATATTATTTTATCTAAGCTTCCTACGACATTAATATCTAAGTGGTCTGATTACAGTTTCCCAAAACTCAAAGATGGAAATAATAAGTCAAGAATAGACATAATATCAGAATTTTTACGCGAAGAAGCAATTAAAATATCTACCACTGCTAACATAATCAGTATGGGAACGCGCAGTTTTAATCAAAACAAATATTCAAACCGTGACGGTATCGCTAAAGGTTCCCATACCGTACTGGTCCAATCGTCAAATGACATAAAGGAAAATTGTAATTTTTGTAAGAAAAGTAAGCATGAATTGACAAAGTGTAAGCAATTCATAAAGGCATTACGCAAAGATCGCTGGCGATACGTCAAACATAATGGACTATGTTACAAATGCTTACTATCTCGACATGACAGGGAAACATGCCCCGCACCCGCATGCGATAAGGAAAATTGTGGAGGAGCGCATCATCGTCTTCTACACAACCCTGTACGGAACCAACACTACGCAACAAATCAAGAGGAGACATCGGCATCGAGTCGCACTACGCCGCCGCCACAGCCGGCGGAAACCGTCGCCCACATACGTTCGATACATAATAAAGTGTTATTGAAAGTAGTGCCGGTTAAAGTGTATGGTGTTAACGGTCCAATAAGTGCGAGTGCGTTATTAGACGACGGATCTACTGTGTCGCTGATAAGCGCGCAGCTGGCGGCGCGCGCTGGCTTGCGCGGCCGAGACGAGACAATGCGCGTATGCGGCGCCTGAAACAACGATACGTATGTCTGTAATTCCACTGTAGTTACTATGAGCTTATCAAGTATGTGTAATAATAGTTTATTTGAGATTAAAGCACGTAGCGTTAATGAATTGAATTTGCCTATCCAAAATGTTTGTTTATATGATTTTGATAAGTACGATCATTTGAAAAATGTTAATATCGACTGTAACACTATATGTCAACCTGAGATATTATTAGGCCAGGATAATTTTCATTTGTTAGTTCCTTTAGAAGTAAGATTAGGAAAATCCAACGAGCCGTCCGCTACTCGAACCCCCCTAGGCTGGTGCGTGCACGGTGTAGTAGGCGCGCCGCCGCCGCCGCCGCCGCGGGCAGCCCCATGCGACGCCGACGCCCTGGTGGTGGTCGCGGCGACCCAGCCGCCCGCGCCGCACGAGCATGCTCTGCGCGAGCTGCACGACGAGGTGCGCCGATCGTTCTCCATTGACGCCTTGGGAGTGTCCGGTAAGGTCCGGCAGAACAGGGATGAGGTGCGAGCGGTAGCTGCCCTCGAGAGCAGTGCGCAACTTATTGATGGTAGGTGGCACGTTGGCTTACCTTGGAAAAATCCGAACTGTAAGTTACCCGACACCTATCCCTATGCACTTTCTCGCTTGAATAGTATAATGAAAAAAAATTACAGTGAACGAAGAGTATGCAAGTAGGTACCGGGAACGTATTGAGCACCTTTTAGTGAATGATTTTGCTCAACCTATGGAACGCAACAGACCAGAACCGAAAACCTGGTACTTACCACATTTTGGGGTAGACAACCCCAATAAAAAGAAATTAAGGTTGGTGTTTGATGCCGCCGCTAAGGTCTATGGTAAGTCACTTAATGATTATTTGCTAACCGGTCCTGATTTATTAAACTCTTTGTTTGGTATTATGCTTCGTTTCCGAGAAAATAAAGTAGGTGTGGCTGGCGATATAAAAGATATGTTTTAAGAATAAAAATAAAACTCGAAGACCAAAATGCTTTGCTTTTCTTGTGGAAGGAGCACCCCGAGGGTGACATACGTACATATAAAATGACGTCCCTTATATTCGGTGCGAACTGTTCCCCATTCATAGCACAATTTATAAAAAATAAAAATGCGCAGCGGTATGAGTCATCGCACCCAGCCGCTGTAGACGCGATTATTAAACAGCACTATATGGATGATTATATAGATAGCCTGCCGGACGACGCCGCCGCTATAGAAATGATAAAATACGTCACAGAAATACACAAACAAGGTGGTTTCGAAATAAGAAACTGGATGAGTAACAGTCAGGCAGTGTTAAGTAGTTTACCAAAAGAAACTTTAGGTGAAGTATCCGTAAGGTTTAAATTTGATCAACAGTGTAGTGGTGAACGAACGCTCGGTATGATATGGTATCCAGTTCAAGACGAACTCGGTTTTGACGTCTCCATGAAGAAAATTCCGGCAAACATAATAGAATGTCGAAGTAAACCGACTAAAAGATTGATGCTTTCTGTAGTTATGTCGATATTTGATGTAAACGGCTTATTAACACCCTTCACTATTCAAGGTAAAATCATGGTGCAAGATGTTTGGAGGGACAATACCGACTGGGATGAAACTATATCAGACAATGTTTATTCTAGGTGGCGCAGCTGGATAAAATGTTTAAAATTAATATCAAACATACGCTTGCCTCGATGTTACCTACATTCCTTTGGCACAAAAAATAAGGAACCGGTCGCGGCCGCTTGCGCAACTCCAGCCGTAGACGGGCCGTCTACGACAACGCTACGAGCGAGTCCCCCCGCACCACCTCCGACGTCTACGAGCGCTACGAAAAATGCTACGCCGCTTGAGACAAACTACATATGCGATAAGGTCTATTATCGTAATTTGCAATTGCATGTTATCTGTGACGCATCGTCAAAGGCGATGTGTGCAGTCGCATATTGGCGTTGGATAGATAACGGGAGTATACGAATGGCGTTCGTGGCTAGTAAAGGACGAGTTGCGCCTCTGAAACCCACTACAATACCCAGATTGGAACTGCAAGCTGCGTTACTCGGGGCTAGGTTGGCGGATACTATAACTCGAGAACATAAATTGCATATTAAAGCAAGGTATTTTTGGAGCGATTCAACTACCGTGCTGCATTGGATAAACAATAATACTCGTAATTATAAAATGTTTGTGGCGACCCGTTTGGGCGAAATAGACGAGTTAGTTTAGTTAACTCGTCTATTGGACAACTGAATGGAGATACATATCGACAAAATTAAATATAGCTGACGTTGGTACGAGAGAAAATAATTGTGATACAATTATGTATAATAGTGAATGGTTTTCCGGGCCAATGTTTCTTTTAGATAAACAAACGAATTGGCCGCATGACGTCATCATCACGAACAAAAATACTGATGATTTGGAATGTGTGAATTTTATTCAAGATCTCGAGAACTTACCCGTCCCGGATTCCAATAGGTTTTCTTCTTGGTTACGATTAATTAAAACAATGGCTATGGTGTTATGATTTATACATAAATGTAGAAAAAAGACTGAAAGTATTCTGATGGAAATGGAATCTGCGGAGTTGCTGTTAATAAAACAAGCTCAATTGGAGTGCTTTGCAGCGGAAATATCTGCAATCAAGGAAGGTAAATTTATAGAAAAGACTAGTAGGCTACTTACCTTGTCACCGGTACTCGACGAACGCGGAGTCCTACGATGTGGAGGCCGTATCGATGCAGCGCGCGGAGTCTCGCCTGAAACTAAGAGACCGATTATATTAGACGGCAAGCATAATGTAGCCCGGTTGCTGGTGAAGTACTATCACGACAAGGCTGCCCACGGGAACCATGAAACTGTGGTGAATGATCTGAAACAGAAATATTGGTTATTGAAAATAAGACCGACTGTAAAATACGTAGTGTCACGGTGTATGTTATGCAGAATAAGAAAAGCAAAGCCACAAGTACCGAGAATGGGTGACTTACCTGCCGCCCGGATGGCCCATCACCAGCGCCCCTTCACTAACTGCGGCGTGGATTTGTTTGGCCCAATGGAGGTCGCGGTGGGACGTCGGCGTGAAAAACGGTATGGAGTGATTTTCACCTGTCTTACTGTGCGTGCGGTTCATTTAGAAATAGTTCATTCCATAACCACAGATTCAATGATTATGGCGTTGAGAAGAATGGCAGCGCGCCGAGGCTGGCCTCGCCATATTATGTCAGATAATGGAACCAATTTAAGGGGAGCTGACACTGAACTTAAACGGTCATTGCTCGAGCTCGACAATGAGGCGCTGAGAAACGAAGCCGCCCATAACGTTGCTGATTGGACCTTCATACCGCCTGCGAGCCCACACTGGGGTCGGGCGTGGGAACGGTTAATAAGGAGCATCAAAACTTATCTCAGGGTCATCCTGAAGGAGCGTGCACCGAAGGATGAAGTGTTAAGCACGCTGCTAGCGGAAGTTGAGAATATTGTCAATAGCCGCCCGCTATCGCACGTCTCTGTGGAGCCTAACAGCGACGAATCATTGACTCCGAATCACTTTCTATTGGGAACTGCATCAAGTCTGCCAACGATAGGTAAATTTAATGACAGTGACTTGTACCTGCGCAAACAATGGCGCAAGTCACAACGTCTGGCAGACATGTTTTGGAAACGATGGGTGACTGAGGTATTACCGGACCTTATACCACGTCGCAAATGGAGCCAAGAGCAGGAGCCGCTGAAGGTGGGTGATTTAGTTTTACTTGTCGACCCAGACTCTCCTCGTAATGTGTGGCCGAAAGCCATAATCCAGGAGGTATTCCCGGGTGCAGATGGTCGAGTGAGGGTCGTCGAGCTCCGCACTAGGACGGGTACGTTGAGGCGGTCCGCGGCGCGCGTAGCTAGAATCCCTCTGGTGGAGTAGTGCTGAGCTAGCACTGGGGTGGGGAATGTTAGCGACGCGCTCAATTATGTTATATTTTTTATTAAAAATGTAGGGTAGTGCGATGTCACTGCCGATCCCGCGGATAACCGTTGTGAGCCATTGCACGGGCACCAATCAGTCTGCCGCGAACCGCTCTGGAAGTGACACCGTACTACTTTGCGATCCCTAAAAAACACGTGTTAGACTAAAATTGCTGTAAAAGTGTTTATTATACCTTTGTTTGCTGCATTTTGGCGTTTTACATCGATACTGAATCTCCCATCCCCCACAATCACTATGTTGTGTATTTCGGTAAAAAAACCAAATCAAAAACTCTATTTTCAAGTTGCCGCGAAAAACGTATCTCTGGACAATATGGCGTCTCACTGGTGTGTGACGTCACACGACTGTCATTAAAACGTCAAACCATACAATCAAATGTCACTTTAACCGGAAGTTTACTTGCGTGTGACGTCATTTTAGGCTCCACCAATCCCAAGCGTTTTGGGTCACGTGACAATAGACAAGAAAACTATTAACTTTATCGAGGGTTTTTAGTAAAATTATGAATATTTTTTCTGTAAAATAGTAAAAACTCCTGCCAATATTCATTCTAAATACAGATGCTAACAATTGGCACTTTATTTTTAATACTGTCAAATACCCTATTTAGCAAGCAACAGTGTAATTTTTGCACATTCATAAATTAGCGATGAATGAAAGATTTTAAAATTCTGGATTTCACTAAAGCTGTTTCGCTTCTTTGTATTTTGTTATAGTGCACTGTTAGACATTTTATATCTTCTTTCTGCAACTTTCTTGCTTTAACTACTACTGGTCGTTATGGTCTAATAGCTCAGCGCTAAATGGGCAATATCTCTCATTTCTAAAACCCTTTTACCACTTGTTTGATTTCAGCAGAAAGTTACACGCTTTGGACGGCAATTCCTATATTTTTATTGAGTTTGATTGCAACAATTCTGTGGAACTTTCAAGATCTTATTATCATATTGATAAGCGTGGGCCTTACTTCTAGATATCGCAGGCTGAATTTGTATGTTAACCGCGTCGTGAATTTTGAGAGACGCAATAAGGACGTGGAAAAGGTAGGTGATTACAATTAAACGGTATTAAGTCTCAGACGCACCCACATTGCACCCACAATGCATTCTTTCGCTATGGGTGCGTCCCCGCTGGGGGCGTCGCGGAATGGGTGCATAACGGCCAGACCCAAAATAATGTACGCGCAATAAGATAGCCAATTATAAACAAGTATTGTTGAATAATGAGTCAATTAAATCCTAATGACTTTGATAGTGCAGGTTAGCGCGTGCGGCCTGCTATCGCGGAATTGAAGCTACTTTCAGTCGTTAACACCCACCAATCCTGGGTCATGGTGGGTCATGGCCGAACCAACCTTCCTATTTCACCCAAAAGAAAAGTCTGCGCCCCAGCAGTGGGGACATTAATAGGCTGATGATTTTGACATTGTAAATATATTTGTAAAGCTAATAAAGTTATAAGATACAGTTCTAAGATACATGATGTCTGTAGGTGATTATTTTATTGCTTTTTTTCATTAATTTTTTGTTCGTCTGCTAATGATTTTATTATTTCTGTCGAGTACCTGAAATAGCGACGTAACAAAATATTCTTTGCCCGCTGAATTTTGGCCGCGTCTTTGACTAGTTGTCGTACTTATGGAAGTAAATGAAAGTTCTAAGCCTACGGAATACGAACTTTCCTATAATTAGATCCATTATGAATCCCAATTACGATAATTTTAACAAATTTTCTTCTTTGGTAAAGTTTCATTTAGTTAGCTGGTAAAAGTTGCCTGGTAGAAATTGCTACCTTAGCAATAAAGCCTCTTTTGTGTTTAAATTCCCGTGTCTATGTATTTTGTTAAACTGTTTTATCATGCAATCAAGAGTATTTATTCATTATTATATTGGTACATCGTTTGATTTCTAAAGGCTTTCCAAATAGTACTGCTATAGGCAATTGTTCCACCGCTGACGATGAACGAGCAGCCAGTAGAGATATAAACTTGAGCAGTGGGAAGCGTGTTTGTAGTTACAATATTTTTTCGTTGGACTATAAGCGAGTGTGCGAGAGGAGACTCCCCCCGAAGTTGGGAGATGCTATCCGCCTACCATACCGCCATACCTCCAGAGGCACTAGCCAATTTTCGGCTTGAGGTCCCATTAGGATCTCGCCGTCCCCAAACTGGGTGACGCTGTAAAGGTGATCTACGACCAACTGCATACACGCTGAAAAAAAAGGAAATACGCCATATTACCAAGAGAAACGTAAAGCTGTTTTATACTGAAATACACAATAGGACAATAAACAGCCACTTTTTATGGAGTCCATACTGGAGAATGTATATTGGACGTATCTTGAGTGAAAATAGCCAATAGTTAGTCGTTTTTTTTCAACTACCATACCAAAGATTGATTATTAAGATTTGGTGCCAACTAAATAATGAATCTAGTCAAAAAAACAAGTTCAACAATATTTGTTTGAGGAGCTGGTATAGTATAATTACATAAAATTACAAACAACAAAAGAAACAGTACAAAACGGTATAATTACATAAAATTAAATTTTACAGGACCTATAAAAAAGTGAATGACATACCTACAGTGAGATTTTGACGTGGTTTTTAATTTAGTATTTTAACACTGTTTTAGGCGGTTTTGATTGAAAATGAGTTGATTCAAATTCAGCTGGCCCAAAACATGCGGACTGTAAAAAAAAGTATTTTGACCAGATGCATTATTATACTGTTTTGTTCGTCAGCTCCTCATTTAATCAGTTATGAGGAGATCAATGGACAACTTTTGTTTTTTTTCCAGGTTGAGTTTGAGAAATACCTACGTTGTGAACAATGGCGTCGCATCAGAGAGGCGTACGTGCGCCAGGCGGCGCTAGTGAGAATGGTGGACGCCAAAATTGGCCCTCTCATACTGCTGTCCAACATTAACAACTTCTACTTCATTTGCCTGCAACTATTCCTTGGGATCAAGTTAAGACCTTACATTTGTTCCGTATAAATCGGAAGTTAAGAGGGGGGGAGGCGGGCAGTTTTTTCCATACAAACGTTCTGGACTGATTTTTACACGAAAGAAATGTTTTTCATACACAAAAAAAATATTTTACTCATTATAGGGGCGTACGTAAGTTATCAAAAAAAGGAAGACATAGGTCGACAAGGAAGACATAGGTCTTCCTATTTTCGATAACTTGCGTTTCAAAGAAACTAAAAGCCCTCAAAAAATCTACAAATAAACTAATTTTTATCACCACTAAAGACGTCTAGTGTGGATATTCAATAAACATTTACATAAAAGCAACACATAGAGGCCTAGTACAACTACTTATTATTCTATATCTACTTATAATTAATTGTACTTGTACTTGACTTCACTATTCGCTTTTAACATTAATTTTGATTGCACATTCCCTAAATAGCATGATAAGGATACACTGCCGTCAAATTTACCAATTGCAAGTACAAATACAGTAAAACCCGTTTAAGACGATTTCACATGGACTCGACCAAAAACGCGTCTTAAGCGGGAAAGTGTATTATGCGGGATTGCGGAATAGGGTAATTTCTAATGTAGATATTGAGGTATTAAATGTACTATATTTAAGAATTATGTATGTTATAAAAAATGTAGTGTATTATTATTTATTATTACGTTATTTAAATTAATCACTTATTTTAGTTTGTCAAAAAGATTTTGAGGCATTAGCAATTACAAGTTTTTCAACATGATTTAACTTTTGCAGTGCGTCTTTGCTTTGATTCAAAGAAATTTATTTTCTTAACGTCTTAAATCATTAACTGCTGATAATGCCTGGGCGTGTGACAATATCAGAGTTCACTATTCTTCTTATTGATCATTATCACTTAGGACCTCTTCTTGTGTCTTATTCACATTCTCATTGAATTTTATACTGTGCCACATTGTCATCAATGGAAGAACACCCAGAAAAACCCTGGAGGCCGCGTAGCGTGCGTCGCTCGACAGTCGGCACGTCAACCGCTGGCCGCTTCCGCAAGAATATGTGTGGTACGTTGGCGATTTAGGCGTATTAAACGGGATGAAAAATCGTATTAAGCGTTAAGAAATGTATGAAAACATGTCTCAAGTTGCAGGGAATGACGCAAAATGGCGTATTATGCGAGAAATCGTATTAAGCGTGATCGTATTAAACGGGTTGTACTGTACATAGCCATGTGAAGTGCAACCATTGCTTTAAGATTTTTAATTACAACTAAAAATCACATTTAAACTATGTTATACCAACTCAGTATACAAAACTTACAAAGCTCTAAACTTTGATTACTATTAAGGGTGTTATCCAATGAGGCGTTACTTCAAAACTTCTCACTTTAATAAAGTCTCCAATGAAAATGAAGACGAGAAGATTAACACTAATAATAGACATTTAGAACATTGTATGCGACTGTTCCATTCCAGTAAGAGTCAAGGATCCGCCGCGAGCGTGGTTTATTACCTAATATCTCTGGCTTGGCTGATATTCCGCGCTTGCGGGGTGGTGCTCACGGCGGCCGACATACAATTCCATTCCAAGCGAGCGTTGACATACATCAATGCATGTCCTGCGCCCGGATACAATATTGAAGTGAGATAATATAGAAATTCTTACTTTCGCTCGATATCCGTCTTTGCTGAAAAACATTTCAAATCTTTTTTAATACAGTTGCTCAAATAGTGATGTATTGCAGGGATGTATAGCGTTCGGGATGTGGGCTATTACATACTCGAGCTTTTTCTTTACCTTTTCCGAACTCGTGCGTTCTCTTTCCCAACTGTCAAAATAATGTCTATTAAAAAGAAATAACCAACTACGAAGTTTTTACTAAACAAAATCATAGATTTTTTTGTGATTCTTGGAAATATTTCTAAAAAGAAGCTCCTAATTTGTTTCAATATCGGATTTAATGATTTGATTCAATGAGTTAGGTTTCATTTCATTTCATCTCATTAAATTTCATTTCCATTTCATATCAATAAAAAAATCTACTGACGACTTGGCTGTATGGGCATAGTTCCCTTTGCCTACCCAGAATGGGTGAAGAAAACAAAAAAAAATCTCTGTTTATATTCTTTTACAGTTGGTGCCATTTTATAAAAATGTTCTTTATTAAATTGCTTAATTTTTTCGCAACTGTATTAGAAATAGTTGTTCAGTACACGTGTGGAACCGTCATTGCAACTTGATCCGACTGTCGGAACTGTTTGCCAGACAGGCTTTTCGCACTCGTAATGAAATATACTATTTCAGCACATTTGCTACAAAAAATCATTTACGAAGGTTCTATGCATTTTTCGAAAGTTCAAAATTACGCGCCATACAACTTCCTTGGAAGCGCTCTTGATCTATACGTTTGTCTCACTTTAATACTAAAAAAAAGAGTCGAAAGATGTTGTTCTTATTTTCACCACCCGCACGTAGCGCCACATTAAAATGGGCGCCATTTTCTTATTAGAAAAAGTTTGCTTCATTACTTATAAATTATATTGTTTTCTCGTAAGTGTATTGAAAAAGAATTGTATGACATTCGTGCGAAATAGGTATTTATAAAACCGTGACTATGGCAAGCCCGAGACGACAGAAAAGATGCAGCTACTTTAGCTTTTAAAAATATTGGAGTGCTGAATTTCAGTTCCTCAGTGATTGGCTCGTTTGTTCGGTGGCGCCAGTTACCGTCCATATATTTATATAAGTAGTTATAGTAAAATATCCTAGATATATCGTATCAAATCTTAGTCAAGATTGTAAACTCTGTGAAGGCTACTTTCTAAAATAGAATTTATTTTAAATCAAAAGAAGAAGAATTTCATGTCCTTTGGTATTTAGAGTCATAATCATATCATTAAAAAGTACTCATAGAAAAAGTAGAAATACTTAATAGGGATGATGACATTATTTTTGTTATCGAAGATACATTCGAAGATAATTGATTTGAAATGTCTCATGACGTCACGTTTTCGTACAATTTTTACTGACGTCACGAGGCCCCACTCCCAAACTTTGACGCGCTTTATCTTTGTAATTTTTTGGTTAAGTGACAAAAGAAAAATAAGTGTCCATTAGTTTTGGATGATCTTACTGACGGACTAAATTGAATTGCGGATTTTTAACTCCGTCATCATCCCTATTATAAACATTCATCCAGATAGTTTAGGCTCAAACACATTATTATGTATTAGGTTAAAGTTCTGTTAGGCTTGTGAAAATCAAACTAAAACGTTTCTAGGTATAATAAATTGGGGTTGAAGTTGTCAATGGGCGGATCTTTTGGCTTATATTTTTGTTCCTAAGTCCACTCGGGCGATTTTTAGATTGAATTGTATTTTTCTCTGCATTAGTCTTGTATTTTTATTCAAGTTTATTTATAACATGGAACAGGAATTGTTTAGTTTGAGTTCGTGTCTTATCATAATTTTTATTATGTATTAGTTATGTTATATAATAAGATATAGTTCATATTGAAAGTAAAAATTCAAAGTGATTTCAGGTAAAACGGTTGAATAATCAGCTGACGTATGACCACGTGGCTTTAAGCGGGATGGGATTCTTCTGGTTGGACAGACAGACTTTACTTCAGGTAATTTTGTTTTATTAAAAAAAAATATATAACAATCAAATATCTATTAGACACATCTAAATAAAAGTTTTACTAGAAAAAAATCCACGCGGGACAGGCAGCAGACATCCGGGCGTTCAGACAGCGTTTTGACATTTTAATGAAAATAAAAATGGTTGCCTGTAAAGTCGGTTTTACGGGCGAAGATTTTACGTGACAACGTCTTTTTCTCGGTAGAATATTTATTGATATGAATATAATTAAATTGCACAATAGGAACAAGGAATTGAATGAAAATAAGAATTGCACAAATTTTAACTATAGAAATATATTTTGTTTACTAAAAAAAAATGGTTGCCTGTAAAGTCGGTTTTACGGGCGAAGATTTTACGTGACAACGTCTTTTTCTCGGTAGAATATTTATTGATATGAATATAATTAAATTGCACAATAGGAACAAGGAATTGAATGAAAATAAGAATTGCACAAATTTTAACTATAGAAATATATTTTGTTTACTAAAACATTGTACATGTAAACTTAAACTTAACACGAGAGACTCATCGTAACGTTACCGAGCGTTACACTTTTTCATAAGTGACTCCCAGCCGCAACCTAATTTAAGACGTTGTCACGTCAACATTGTACATGTAAACTTAAACTCATCGTAACGTTACCGAGCGTTACACTTTTTCATAAGTGACTCCCAGCCGCAACCTAATTTAAGACGTTGTCACGTCAAAAGAAAAATTAAAGATTTAATGTTGTTGTTTTGGTAGATCTGAGTTAGGTTAGGTTAGGTTAGGCCATTTACAATCCATTTACTGCGAAAGTTGGCATGGCATCGACACCAAATGTAAATTTGACTATAATTGTATGTACTTTGCATAGAATGTGTATTATTTTATAAATTTTAGTGGTTTTGTTTTATGAAGACGATTTTTATTTTTGTATATTTTAATTAGCCATGTAACTTGATGCAATATGTTTAGTTAAATAATTCATAGCAACGACCTTATCTACATAGAAATTATCAATTAACAATTCAATTACTGAAACATAAAATATTTTTCGTTACAGGTAGCTGGAAATATTATAAAATATGAACTAGTTCTCATCGAGTACGATAAATAATAGTAGTTAGTTTTAAAATAAATAGTTACCTACTTACATGAGTTTTTTATTTTGCTATTATATTAACCTATTATGCTTTCCTTCAGCAATGATGATGATGATGAAATAGCTATATATTCAATACCTTGAATAAATACAGCTCGTATTGAGAAAAACACTTTCTGTAAATTAAATATCTAGTCTCTACCATTACACCGCGATGTGACATCATTAAGTACATTCTAGCGACTATACCACGGCGAGTGTTCTGAGTTCCCCTATCCCTCTATCACCTTTTCTTTAGGGGACCACGCGCGCTGGCCTACTTTGCCAAAGAGATTTGGTGACTCTTTTTTTTGTCGCACTATTCGTAAGTGAAATACTTTGCCCGCGCACGTGTTCCCTCCTTCCTACAATCTGTGGTCCTTTGAGAGAGGCGTGAAGAAGCATTTTTGCAGGCCGGCAAGGTGAGGATGGTTGGTGTGGCAGTTTATAACTGCTGTACCAGCTATCTTCGCGTTTGGACTTTATAACCACTTAACATCAGCTGGGGTAGAGTCATTTGCTTACCAGGCTATATAAAATATATACATATATAGCAATAATAGTACAGACTTAATTCAACTAATAATATGCATAGTATGTTAAGCAACACAGCTCGATGGCAAGTGGTTACCGCGTTCGGCTGCGATCGTTGAAGCTGAACAACTAGACTAGCTAGACCAAAAATTTAGTATCTCGAGCTTCTTCGTGCTTTGGAAGGCACGTTAAGTAGTTGGTCCTGGCTGCATCTGAGGTCGTTAGCACCCACCAATCCGCATTGGACCCGCGTGGTGGGCCATGGCCCCATTCTCCCCATTCCGTCAGGAAGGCCTATGCTCCAGCAGTGGGGGCATCAATAGGCTGACAGACAGATCGAAAAAGATAACAGTCAATATTCAATCGGTTATTGCAGACTAGGTGTCCATTAGCTAGAAAATTACAAAAAAAATATTTCTTTGCGTCACCGCTATCGACATGGGACGTTAATCGTAATGTTTAAAAAAATATCTGACTTTGTAACTGAAATTGTTAAATAAAACTCGGTTTACTTAAGAAATTATCTTTATTAAGTAGACCCCTTCACATCCGTCAGTTTATTTTTACAACTAGTGCTGCCGAACTTAAAGCTAAACAATAGGGCTTAATAATGCTTATCGATTAAAATTCGATTACTTCGTCTAACAGTTCGGCTTTAAAAACGATATAATTGAAACAGATGACCAGTGCCAATGCCTTTCCATCACTTATTTATTCTCGCGAGTCAACAATCGTGAGACGAACTCCGTGGCCAAGTGGTTTGTACGCCGGGTTTCATAGTGTCGCCGACTCGAGAGGTCACGGGTTCAAATCCCGGTGGGATAGATGTTTGTGTGATGAATATGAGCATTTGTACTCCAGTCGTGGATGTTTAATATGTATTTTCTATAAAAAATACTTATATACGTAGGTACAGTATATGTATTCTATCCGTTGCCTTAGTATCCAATAACATAAGTCTTATAGTGCTTACGTCCGGGCTAGGCTAATTGGTGTGTGTTGTTTTTTTTTATTTATTTATTTATAACTCTATTTAATGCCCTAGATACAACAACACGAACAAAATCGTGGCCGAAACCTGTCCAAAAGGTACATTGGACAATCCACGGAGTCCGTAAGATGATCGCGTAGTCAAAAAAGTTGGGACACATATTGGGCGTTCGTGGTGCATCTAGGGCATTTTCGCTGTCGTGATTACTCAAAATCTGATACGCTCGGTATTCATACAATTTGAGGTACATGCGGCGTCTACTTCAATCTAGGTCTATGGTCAGCAAGGAAGCCTTAAAAGTAAGTATTAATAATCTTAATCCTGGTATTGCTGATATAATGGCAGTATATCATTATGGTAGGAGACGTATTGTAGTCGAGCTTAGCTTAGAATCGGACGATTTTATCCGCATGGCAAATTAGATTAATAATCCAAAGTGAATAATGGACGGATTATGTGCCTGTATTGTTAGTTATCAGCATCACAATACGTTTAATATCGTTAGAATCACATACGAAGAATGGGCCA